ACGCTCCAGTCCCACATTTGTGGTTCCAGTCAGAGAACCTGGTCCCAAGTCCCAGCACCCAGTGCTGCTCTCCGAGGTCCACAGCTGCATGCTGCTTCAATGCTAGTTCCTGCCTCACATCCCAAAGCTCCTGCCCTGAGTCCCGGGCTCCTGGGTCCCAAGTTCGGCTCCACAAGCCCTGGCTCAGCATCCTGAGCTCCAGACTGATGCTCCCCGTTTGCAGTCACAGTCGCAGTCCCAAGCTCTGTGTCAAATCACCACCCAGCAGAGCAAGGCCTCGATTCCTGTCCAGCACTGAGCGCTCCCCTCTGAAGCGCCCAGTGCAAGCTCTGAGCACCGAGTCCCAGCCCGACATCCTGGGGTCCAATCCAGCACTCTCCAGATCCATCCGTGCCAGTCTCCTGCTCCTGGTTCATGCTCCAGGCTGATGCTTTGAATCCTGGTGCTCCCAGTTTCATCCCACTGCTCCCAGTTTGGTTTCTGCTTCGAGCTCTGTGCTCCGGCCTGGCCTGCCATTTTGCCATCCCAGGACTCTGGGTCCTCCAAAGCTACCTGGTCGCTCTGGCTTCCCAGGGTTCGGCTTGAGCACTGACACAGAGCTGCCAAGAGCTCGGGCTCCAGTCCAACCCCCAGCCCTGCTTCCAGCCCTGCCCAACCTTCGGGGTCCCTGCAGTCCCATGAGACGGGGCTGCGCCTTGACACATCCTCTCCCAACAGCAAATCCTCTCCCCACCCATCCCTCTTGCTCTGATCCTGCATGCAATGATCCTGCCGTGCTCTGCTCCCCTCCTCCCCCAGCCTGGGGGGCTGCATGCACTCTCCAAGGACTGCTGGCAGCTCTGCTTCGGAAATCAAAGCCCACCCGGCCCCTCCATCACCCTGCCAGCGACGTGGCCCCTCTCCTGACATGCCTGGGGCTGGGCTTCTTACTGTGAGATCTCTGCAGAGGTTTCCAAGCTGGAGTAGTGGAGGGATCTCAACACCAAGCAGATCCTGGTCCCTTCAAAAGAGAGATTTCTTGCAGAGTCTGTTGCAAAGCCCCAGCTAGGAGAGCTCTTGGGCCAGCCAGGGAGCAATGGGGTGGGTTTGCCAACCTGTGGTCTGCGAATGCCCCTGCTTAGGCCATCATGGGGCAAACCTTGCCTGCTAGGGTCTGGGCTGAAATCCACCCAGGAAGAGGTCAAGGGCAATGTGGATTCCCGCTGCAAGGCAAGGCATGGGGGGTGGCACTGGCTGGTGGAGTCCTGTAGCAGAGGGACCCTCCCTTAACACTCTCATGTCCCAGCTCCCATGCCAGACCTCTCCTGAGCTGGGCTTTGGGGGCTGGGGGGGCTCTGGGGGCTCAGTCTGAACCCCAGGAGTCCTACATTGGGGAGGGGGGGAAGAAGCCCCATCTTTGAGCTTGGGGCCTGATGCCATTGAGCTGAGAACAAAGCTCGTTGCATGTGCCAGCAATGCGCCCCCAGCCATGCGGGGCCCTTGGTCCCACAGCTGAGAACGTCTGACTGATCGCGCCTCCTGGGCATTTCCTTTTATAATACCCCCACTTGGGCGCACCCGTGACCAGGAATCCAGCCCCCTTCTTGGGGCCACCTGTCTCCATAACCCCTTACGCAGCCCTAAGAGGTGACACGATGGGCAGTGCTCCCCCCATCCTGTCACCCACAAAACAGCTGGCGGAGTCAGGCCCTCATGGTCTGGCAGCACAGAGAGGGCTAGTGGTTAGAGCAGAGAAGAGCCTGGTAGTGAGGACTCGGCATCCTTCTCTCCCCTCCAGGAAATGACTAGGGTCAGTGGGGCTGCAGCAGGGGAGGCTGAGAGCCAGGACACCTGGGTCTGGGAGTCACTTCTGCCTCTCTGTGCCGCAGTTTCTCAATGGGGCAGCACTGAGTCCCGTCCCTGGCCGGCTGGGGGGGCTTCAGCCATTGCCCCAAGCTCAGGAAGGGTCCTGGGGGGAGCCTGGAGCCCAGCAGCCCTGAGCTCTGTCTGCTTCCCCTCCACTCCTCACCGCCTTGCTGCTCCGAGCGCTGCCCCGCAGCACGCGGGAGGGACCCGGGCGTCCAGGCATGGAGTGCCTCCGTATCCGCTCCCCGTGCCAGGAAGGGAACCCCAGTGTCCCCAGGGCAGGCAGAAGAGGGGAAGCCCTGGCTGATCCCTCTCTCCCTTTTCTTGTGGGCCCTGGCTTTCTGCCAGCTTTGTTCTAGCTGCAGAGGGGATGTAGACGGGGGGCTTTGCCCCGCTGCAGGGGGGGGCTGCAAGGACATCCCTGCTCTGGGGCTCCCCTCCCTGCTCCAGCTACCCCCTCCATTCCCCATCCCAGCCCTCCAGCTAGCCCCACTGGGACCACACAGCTCCCCTGAGACCCCTTCCCTCCATAGACCCCCACCCTGCTGCATCCCATATATATATATACACACACACACACACACATATATGCAGTAACTCAGGACCACAGCTCCTGCCTGCCGGGCCATATATCAGTGCCGGGCTGTGCTGACAGCGCCTGCTGGGTGTCTTCCCCTGATCTGGAGCATGCCGCTGTGCAGCTTTTGGAGCCAGGTTTGCTGTGGGGGAGCCCCTGCTAGTTGTGCCCCCTGCCACGAGGGCTGGAAGGGGAGGTGGAAGCCACAGCAGCTCCCCCAAATCTTAGGGGGGGCTCGTTAGACAGCAGCTACTTAACTGGAGGCCTCCCTGGCTGGGGTTGCTGAGTGTGTTTTTGGGGGGCAGATGGGGTGCCCTTCCCTCCTACCCAAAGCTAAGGGGGTGCAGGCACCCCCCAACCCCCCTGGGCTGGGCACAACGCTTTGCCAGGGTAACACTGACACCTGGTGGCTGTCGGCTGCATTGCAAGCAGCAGGGCGGAGGCAGCACAGCTCCCTGGGCTGTGCCTAGCCGGGCGCGCCGGGGCGCTGTCTACACTAGGGCTGTGGGGCAGGGAAGCTGCCCTAGGCCTGGGTGGGGGTTGTGTTCTGCCCCATGTTGCAGGCTGGCTTGACTCACTTGGGGCTCTCTGTGCTGCCACGCAGGTACAAGAGCAGGGCTGGGAGCCAGGACTCCTGGGTTCGGTGCCAAGGGCGGGAGAGGGGCAGCGATGCTGTTTGGCGGTGTAAGAAGGGGAGGAAAGGGAGCCAGGACTCCTGGGTTTCATCCCAGCTTCTGCCACTGTGATCATCAGGCAGGGTCCTTCCCTCTCTACCTCAGTTTCCCCATGCAGGCAGATGCTGCTGACTCTCTCCCAGGGGGCTGTGATGCTTCAGTGACTCAGCTGTGCCCTGGGCCCAGCGAGGGCAGCAGAGTTGCAAAATATCAGGGGGAACCCTCTCTTCCTCCCCCAATGTGTATGCGAGGGCAGCCCTGGAGTGATGTACAGCACTGAGCATTGACTCACTGACCGGGTTTTGGTCTGGGCAGCTGCCTTGAGCTCCAGCTGGGTGGCAAACGGAAAGAGGAAGCAGTGACTCTGCAATGCTCCTACCCACAACCCCGCCACGGAACAGCTCACGCCCCATCCAGCAGCCTGCGGCGCTCAGCCAGGGATCGGGGCCTGCACCGTGTGGCGGGGCAGGGCGGGTGGGAGCCCTGTTCAAACCCGCTCTGGGCAAAGAGGAGGCACGTGCTGGGGGGTGCTTCCCTGAGCTGCAGAAGGGCCCAGCTGCCCCGTCACCCTTGGGCGATGGGGTTCGTGGGCTGAGCCTGTGGGGGCCTAGAGACCTCCAGAGTGGAGAACATGGCTAGCCTGGTACCCAACGTTTGCATCCTGCACCCACAGCTGGAAACCCCTGGCCCCACAATGCTTCCACTCTCTGCTGCCCCTTTAAACCCACCTAGCCCTGGGGCTCTTACCCTCTCCTGGGAAGCAACAAGCTCTGCCTTGATTATACAAGTGGGGTAAACTGAGGCACAAGGAGGGCGGCATCTTGCCCAAAACCACCCTCTTCTCTGGCAGGGCTGTGCATAGACCCCAAGGGTCCTGAGCCAGTTCGCAGGGTGCTGCCAGGGCATTTCCCCATCTTCCATGCATGCAAAATGCCTTCTCCAGCTTTCTTCTCTGCTCCTCCCTGCTCTCAAGGGCAGGGACAAGAGCTCAGCATTTATATCCCCGCCGCCCCCTTGCTAAATCCCAGCATCTCTCCTCCCTCGTATTTAATCTCCTCCCCGAGACTAGTCTGCCTGCAGACCCAGGTGTTTATACCCCGTATTAGGGTGGCGTCTAGGAGCTGGTGGCTGACAGTCCTGATGACCCTCCAAGCTCTAGAGACCAGACCTGACTCCAAGACAGAGCTGTTCGTCTTGCAAATTTTGGCCTGCAGCTTCTGGTTTCACATCAGAAGAAACAACTGCATGAAACCCAGCTGGGGAGGGCAGGGACATTCCCCAGGGAGCTTGAAAACCTATTATTTTTAAGGAGGGGTGGGGGGGGGGGG